GTGGCAAAATACGCTTCTGCCTTTTACAACACTTCGTAACCCGGCCCAACTCCAGCCACACTAGAAAATGATCTGAGGCACCAATATCAGTTACATTAACCTGTACTTCACCAGATTCCCTCATCAACTGCATATCCGTAACTATATAATCTATCACTGATTTCTGCTGCAGGCTCGGCCTTACTCTAGTCCACTCAGGCTCTGACACTCACTTCTTACCATTACATATCACCAGCTCCACCTCATTCAAGAATGAAATCAGCCTATTTCCACTAGCATTACAAGTCTCCTCCCCAAACATCCCAATGACATCATCAACATCAGTAGATCTACCCACCCTCGCATTAAAATCACCAAGAAGAACAACCCTCCCCTTCTGCATGAATCCAAGCACATCCTCCTTAAACTTGATGTAACTATCCTCCATTACAGAAGCACAAGCATTATCTGTAGGCATGTAAATACAGCACACATACGACGCTTCCCTCCCTCTCCCACCACTAATCCGATGGGTGTCATTCCGTAGTTATATACTAGCTATATAATTGCTCGATTGTCTTGCAATTGAATATTGATGGGTGTCATTCCGTAGTTACTAGCTATAATTATAGTTGCTCGATTGTCTTCTTGCAAGTGAATTGATGGGTGTCATTCCATAGAAATCCTAAACGAGAGTTCTATATATATGTTATGTACTACGTGCGAGGGACATACAGGATTTCAATGAACCCGAGGGCCTCCGCATTTGTAGTGTCCCGAGCGCAGCCAGGGCACTACGCGGATGGCACGAGGGTTCATTGAAATCCGGTATGTCCCGAGTATACGGAGTACATAACATGTTTAGTGCAGAGCAAATCAGCTCCGTATACGCGCACTGCGTTTCCAAGCACAGGGAAAATAAAAGATGCGAGAAAGAGACGAGAGCGCAAGACCGTCATCTCGTGCGGGACTATTGAACGCCGAACGCTAGGATACGCTGCTCCGCCACTCTAGCTACTCCCGCTGCGGGACTGTCCTCCGCCACTCATCCGAAGAAACGCGACAGGAGACCTGCGCGAACCATCGCAATCAGAGAGAGGCGAATTCAGGCGCTGCTATACCGAAGGCGTTCGCCGTCGACTTAGTAGCTTTGTCGCGCGCACTCGCTCGCGGAGCCCCACCCCCTTATTTGCGTGCGGTGGTTTGTGGCGGGCGTGAGCTGCCTGGCTATCTACTATGTATATACATGGCAAGGAGGGAGATGGGCTCAAAGCAGACACAGAAAACTGTCTCGTGGAAAAATAAAATCAAGATATCAGTTATTTTGATCCAGATTTTGTACAGATCATGTTTTTCGGGATACATTTCTTACATGAAATGCTGTTTAACTTGTTGAAAATCAACAGAAAAAACGAGGTTTCATATCATGTTTTCATGTTACTTTTGTTAGCTCACGAGGTTCATATGAGTAATCAGGAACCTCGTAGTAACAAATCTGATTGGTCGATTCGAATCAGCTATGCACTAATTACTATTAGACTACGGTAACACGCAATTGACCAATCAGATTGCGAGTTTAGCGGTGACTAATTTTGTTAGTGACCTCTTCCGCGGTAACTATTCGTAGCCCCGGCAACCACGCCTTCAATTCGAAAAGACGCCACGCGCGCGGACGGTGAACCGAGCTTCTGGAGCGGTTCTTCCCACGAAGAAACCAGGAACAGGCTCTTCTAGCAGCAGCGCATGACTACTAGAGAGCTAGGAAGACGCTAGAGAACGCGTACAGGGAAAAACGGGTACAAACGGCCGGCCGGCGCGATCCCGAATGGCAGCAACGCCTACAACGGACACTGCAGCGGGACGGACTTGCGCTGTAGTCTAAGCCGGTTAGACGCGTCGCCTTGGGAAACTACGTGGTTTAGTGAGCCTCGGAGCCCTTAGTAGCGCCCTCGCTGCGCTCGGGACGCCGACAGCTCAGGGCTCCTCGGCTCACTAAATCGCGTAGTTCCCGCGGCTCAGCGTCTGACCTATACTTATAGCACTCCTACAAAACGTTGTCGCCCGCAAGTCTCACTATATTATTATTATAGCATAATTCTTGTAATTGCAAACCAAAAGTGCTTGCTCATTTTGCGTTCAGGCTCTGTACAGGAGATTCTTCTGGACAGTCGGCTTCTGTTGGGCTTCTGTTGTGGAATATGGAATATTAATGAAGCTCGAATGTCTTCTTGCAATTGAATATTGATGGGGGTCATTCCGTAGTTGCTACAGAGTTGCTCATTGATAAACAAGTCTTTGTGGGTGAGATGTTTGTTATGCAAGAATCCCCAGAATCCCGTTGATCCCTACGAGCGTGCGATGGGCGGGATCCGCGACAAAAATAAACGAGTCTCCAGGCCACCTATAGGTTATAGCCTTTTGCTATAAGAAATACCACTTATTTGCTATAGGAAATATCACATATTTGCTATAGGAAATACGACATATATCATGCTAGGGAAATACGTATATATCACTTGCTTGCTCTATGAAATAGCGCTATACTCTCATCCTCAGTATAACTTTTACATGTACGGTTGTAATTCCGCATGCGTGTATTGTGAACGCAGGCACCAAGCCCATGCGCCGAATGCTAAACTTTGGACCCAACGACTTGAGAGGGGTGCAATGTCTGAGGAAGAAGAGTCTGAGCTGGAGGAAAGTGTGGTTTGGGACTGGCAGCACTTCTTTGATGAAGTTCACACCATGGATCAAGTATAATATTGACGCAACGTTTGCACAATGCATGCTATTTACGTTTTTACAGTAGATAATTGGAATTGTGTGAGACTAAAAAAAAAAGAAAAGGCATTAAGGTATAGTTATACACAAAGACATTCACCAAAGAAGAACAAAAACAAAAACAAAGAACAAAAATAGCGAAAGTCAGACAACACTGTCAATGAAGGAGGAGATTGGAGGGAAGCAGTGCAGCCACAGTGCAGCATTCCCTCTCCACAGCGACACGGAGCACCTCTGAAAGGGCTGGCGAGAGGTGATGGAAGGGGGGTGCCAAGTCTCTGGCACTGAAGGCAACCAATACAGCTGATGGTCTTGGCAGCCATATCACTCCAACCCCCAAGTGACTCACCAGCGAGGGGGATGAAGGAGACCCCCACCGCTCAGCAAGAGGCAGCATGAGTAACCATCTTCCGTTCCTGACAGATAGACATGGACCACCCATGGAAACAGGCAGTGAGGCCTTTATAATTATAGCAACGACCACTCAGGAATGGGGCCACCCACAATGTCTGAACAAGCTTTATACAAAAAAGAGGCATACATGGAAAGGGAGACAAGATAGGGATGGGATGCATGCAAATACGCTAGGATTGCTCGTGCACGTACTGCTGCATGCCAGCTGCCTTGTGAACCACGACTGACGAGTTGAAAGCGTAAGGTAAGTACCGTTCTGCTTACCTGCTCACCGTTCTGCCAATGTACAATACGTTATGTAACGGCGACAGGTAGCTCTGTCTTGCTTCACGAAAGGAAAGCTGTGCGCTGACGGCACGTTATGCAACCCGAACATCACGGGAAAATCCCAAGTTGGGTCGCTCCCGCTCGCCAACAATGTTCAACATTTGCACTAGTATATTCCTATAGGGTGGAGACTTTGTCACGGATCGCGCGCGTGTGCCATACGCGCGGCATTCGCCAATGTTGTGCGCATGCGTACGCGTACTTAGCGCCACGCCTTCATTCTGGAAGGAGGCGTGGTAGTAGATGCTGACTAGACAAGTGCTGACTAAACGACGAGAGGAAAGCAGAAGAAAGAGAGATCTAGAGACGAACAGAGGCACAGATTGAGAAGAAGGCACGCAAGACCCGGAGAGCGAGGAAGAGAAGCTGTTTCTCGACCGTAGCGATGAACTCGGAGCGGAATTCGTGAGATTGTTACTCGGAGACGAGTCCCAGGGACGGCCTATGGGCCCCGGCCGAGGTTCAGAGGACGCTGAGGAGTCGTCACAAGGCGAACAGGCCTCAGGGGAAGGCTCTCCGTCTTCCAAGGTCACTCAGAAAAAGGTAGGTAGACGTTTCGTTGTGTTGACATGTACAGAGCTTTTGTAGGTGGCTATAGTATATCTTATTGGAAAGGTCCTTATTTTAGGGGTGTACTTAGATAGGATTTCCACTGTACTTCATTAAATGCAGGTTTAGCTGCTGTCAGTAGTACTAAGAGGGGATGGGAAAGATGAGTTATTGTCTGGGAGTTGTTGCTCAGTGCGTAGTGCACTAGATTAATGCCCGCCTTAGTTTGACTTCGGCCAGAGATCAGTTCCTGGCCTGTATAATTCGACAGTCTTGAGTTATCCAGCTACCAAGACAACTAAGAGTATTTATACTATAGCAAACTTTATGCGTGAAGCTCATAAATGGACAGGCATACACATGTATACAGATGTTGAATGATGCAGCATTACACCTCTGAAATGAGGACACCTTTCTATAGCTACAACAGTTCTGCATCATGTCAACTAAGTTTTGTCTGAAAGTTGGAGCTAAGTGTGTAATGCACTGGACCTCCAGTGGCTATGTCTTAGTGTGACTCCCGATGGCTCCGGGGCTCCTTTCTTTCTCTCCTCATGGCCTGTATAATTATTCTACCATCTGGAGTTATCCAGCTACGAAGACTAAGAGTATTTTACCATAGAAAACCTTAGGCGTGGAGTTCCATAAATGACAGTCATGTGTACAGATGTTGGGGTGTTGAATGAAGCAGCGTTAGCGTTGAAACAAGTCCTTAATTATTATTATGTTCATATGAGGTGTTCCACTGTAATCCACCAAAACAACTGGAGGTCCAGTGCACTAGCTACACACTTAGCTTCAACTTCCAGACAAAACTTAGTGTTTCCGATTCCCTCTTAATACTATATACTGCCAGCGACTAGCAATGTACAGTGGAGCAGAAAGAGGTAGTAGGTTGATGTTTAATTCACTGCTGATATCTTTTCTTGTTTAGGCTGCGAAGAAACTCGGAGTACTGCTGCGGGACCATGGCGACAAAATTGACGGCGATCCGACTTTGAAGAAGGCAGTTGTTTCCTTCGTGGCGGATGTTGCGGAGAAGATGTCAGTTCTTCAGGTCACTCAGGCAGTGTTTGACACTCTGTGTGACAAGGTCCTCAGCTCCGTTCAACACAGAGACGGTGGACACCAGGTATTAGCTATACATGTATGCTCTGCTGATGAGGGCCAACAAGCCCGAAACAGCTGTCCAGAGCTCCCGCATCTTTTTTCTCTTGGCATCACATGGTCTAATACCTTCATGTTTTTAGGACTACACATAAAAACAACATGACAGTGGAACCTCTGAACAAGGGAAGGGACACTATGGTGACGACAATTTTGTCCCTTGTAGAGAGGTTGTCCATATCTCGGAGGTCAAATAGTACACTAAAGTACATGGGGTTGAAACAAGTGTCCCTTGTAGAGAGGTCGTCCCTATCTCGGAGGTCAAATGATACACTAAAGTACATGGGGTTGAAACAAGTGTCCCTTGTAGAGAGGTCGTCCCTATCTCGGAGGTCAAATAATACACTAAAGTACATGGGGTTGAAACAAGTGTCCTTTATAGAGAGGTCGTCCATATCTCGGATGTCAAATAATACACTAAAGTACATGGGGTTGAAACAAGTGTCCCTTGTAGAGAGGTCGTCCCTATCTCGGATGTCAAATAATACACTAAAGTACATGGGGTTGAAACAAGTGTCCCTTGTAGAGAGGTCGTCCCTATCTCGGAGGTCAAATAATACACTAAAGTACATGGGGTTGAAACAAGTGTCCCTTGTAGAGAGGTCGTCCCTATCTCGGAGGTCAAATAATACACTAAAGTACATGGGGTTGAAACAAGTGTCCCTTGTAGAGAGGTCGTCCCTATCTCGGAGGTCAAATAATACACTAAAGTACATGGGGTTGAAACAAGTGTCCCTTGTAGAGAGGTCGTCCCTATCTCGGAGGTCAAATAATACACTAAAGTACATGGGGTTGAAACAAGTGTCCCTTGTAGAGAGGTCGTCCCATATCTCGGAGGTCAAATAATACACTAAAGTACATGGGGTTGAAACAAGTGTCCCTTGTAGAGAGGTCGTCCCTATCTCGGAGGTCAAATAATACACTAAAGTACATGGGGTTGAAACAAGTGTCCCTTGTAGAGAGGTCGTCCCTATCTCGGAGGTCAAATAATACACTAAAGTACATGGGGTTGAAACAAGTGTCCCTTGTAGAGAGGTCGTCCCTATCTCGGAGGTCAAATAATACACTAAAGTACATGGGGTTGAAACAAGTGTCCCTTGTAGAGAGGTTGTCCATATCTCGGAGGTCAAATAATACACTAAAGTACATGGGGTTGAAACAAGTGTCCCTTGTAGAGAGGTCGTCCATATCTCGGAGGTCAAATAATACACTAAAGTACATGGGGTTGAAACAAGTGTCCCTTGTAGAGAGGTCGTCCCTATCTCGGAGGTCAAATAATACACTAAAGTACATGGGGTTGAAACAAGTGTCCCTTGTAGAGAGGTCGTCCCTATCTCGGAGGTCAAATAATACACTAAAGTACATGGGGTTGAAACAAGTGTCCCTTGTAGAGAGGTTGTCCCTATCTCGGAGGTGAAATAATACACTAAAGTACATGGGGTTGAAACAAGTGTCCCTTGTAGAGAGGTTGTCCATATCTCGGAGGTCAAATAATACACTAAAGTACATGGGGTTGAAACAAGTGTCCTTTATAGAGAGGTCGTCCCTATCTCGGAGGTCAAATAATACACTAAAGTACATGGGGTTGAAACAAGTGTCCCTTGTAGAGAGGTTGTCCCTATCTCGGAGGTCAAATAATACACTAAAGTACATGGGGTTGAAACAAGTGTCCTTTGTAGAGAGGTTGTCCATATCTCGGAGGTCAAATAATACACTAAAGTACATGGGGTTGAAACAAGTGTCCCTTGTAGAGAGGTTGTCCCTATCTCGGAGGTCAAATAATACACTAAAGTACATGGGGTTGAAACAAGTGTCCCTTGTAGAGAGGTCGTCCCTATCTCGGAGGTCAAATAATACACTAAAGTACATGGGGTTGAAACAAGTGTCCCTTTGTAGAGAGGTCGTCCCTATCTCGGAGGTGAAATAATACACTAAAGTACATGGGGTTGAAACAAGTGTCCCTTGTAGAGAGGTCGTCCCTATCTCGGAGGTCAAATAATACACTAAAGTACATGGGGTTGAAACAAGTGTCCCTTGTAGAGAGGTCGTCCCTATCTCGGAGGTCAAATAATACACTAAAGTACATGGGGTTGAAACAAGTGTCCTTTATAGAGAGGTCGTCCCTATCTCGGAGGTCAAATAATACACTAAAGTACATGGGGTTGAAACAAGTGTCCCTTGTAGAGAGGTCGTCCCTATCTCGGAGGTGAAATGATACACTAAAGTACATGGGGTTGAAACAAGTGTCCCTTGTAGAGAGGTCGTCCCTATCTCGGAGGTCAAATAATACACTAAAGTACATGGGGTTGAAACAAGTGTCCCTTGTAGAGAGGTTGTCCATATCTCGGACGTCAAATAATACACTAAAGTGCATAGGGTTGAAACAAGTGTCCCTTGTAGAGAGGTCGTCCCTATCTCGGACGTCAAATAATACACTAAAGTGCATGGGGTTGAAACAAGTGTCCTTTATAGAGAGGTCGTCCCTATCTCGGACGTCAAATAATACACTAAAGTACATGGGGTTGAAACAAGTGTCCTTTATAGAGAGGTTGTCCATATCTCGGAGGTCCAATAATACACTAAAGTGCATGGGGTTGAAACAAGTGTCCTTTATAGAGAGGTCGTCCCTATCTCGGACGTCATCCCTTATCAGAGGGCCCACTGTATGTGTAAACTATACGTATGAGGTGGAAAGGCAAAGGCGAAGCAAACAAGTCAACCAGCTGGCACTCTAGCTTAAGAAATATAATGAATAGATGTGTCATTATTCAGAGGGTCCTTTTTTTGAGGTTCCACTGTATAAAATATTTGCAAATGACTTACAATCCCTCACTGGGTTAGAAGAATATTATACCTGTGAATTACGTTTGCTCAATATTTGTTCACAGACGGCGGCAGTATTCCGTGTGTCAACTGAGCTCATAAGAAACATGAGGAGCCAGCCGGCCTACCCCAGTACTCGGGAGAAGACCCTCATTCGATATGCTGGGAAATATCTGGTGGCCATCGGACTATGGGTAGACCTCAACGCAGTACTGCAGCAAGCCGCCAGTGGGGAGGTGAGTATTATACCTATATAATAGCTCTCTGTGTGCGATATTCCTAATAAAAATTGCATTCTTTCACTGTGCCCCTATTGATCTTTAGTAACATTTCTAAATTTAGCCCTTACATAGTGCCACACCCCCTTTAAGAGTCCCTTTAGTTTATTAACCACATGTTCTTTATTACGTCCACACACAAACGTGTGTAAAGGTGGTAAAAAGTGGTCTGTCTTGCTTGTTAAACCTCGGCGTGCATGCGCAGCGAGTGTTACAGTACTTGGTCTGTGTGTGTGTCTGTCTGTCAGCAGCTATTCTCGCACTACAGGCTACGAGGCAACCCATGAGCGATACCAACGTCTTCAGAACTACGCGAACCTGAAAAATACACGGGCGATTTCCTGCAACGACTGCGTTCGAGAGATATGCTGTAAAACAAGCGAAAAAGCCACCAGCTTACCTCGACCAATCCACTTGCTCTTTGTACGTAAAGGAGGCACAAGAAGTCATCACGAAGACCGTGTATCGACTCCCGTATCGGCATGCTATCTTATAGTGTAGCTAGCCCGTGTCAGACTCTCTGCGACCAACTAGCGGGAGACCACGAGTAAACGCATACTCATAGCCAAGCCCATCAATTAGCGGTACCGCACATGCGTAATGCGCCGAGGGTTTGCACTTCAGTGCTTTTCATTTTTTGTCAGTAATCAAACTTCATTTGGTGAGCAACAACAACTCTTGTGCAGCCATGAACATCACACAGTGTGGTTAAAAGGGACTCGCTTGCTGTGCAAATTTCAAAGTACATACATAGCGTATGGACAGGACATTCGTGCATCTTATGTATGCACTGGAACAAATGCACCACACTTTGGCGAGCCTGAAACTGTGTAGGTAGCTATGTCGTATTTGCACAAGTGCATTGGCCTATCAGACTGATAACCTTTACAAATGAAAAGCACTGAAGTGCAAACCCTCGGCGAACTGCGCATGCGCGATACCTCTAATTAATGGGCTGGGCCTATTAGTCTGCGTTTACCCGTGATCTCCTGATAACCTTTACAAATCAGAGGACTAGGTGGGTTTGCTTAACCGTTTCGTAGGTACCAGAGAGTGCTCTAGCATTTTCTTCTGTGGAAGTTCCAAAGGAATAACTTGTGAATCACCCGAGGTGATTTTTAATTTGTGACTATTGTTCAAACCCACTAGGGACTAATTTATTCTGATGTGATATATTTTCAGTGCGTATCATGATAATCTTATTCGGACGTAATCAATTACTGCATAGTTAGATTGCGACAAAACTGGCTCCCACAGCACCTTTTTAACCCTTTGGACGCCATGGGTATCTGCTATAAATAAGCAGAAATTGATATGTATAAAGTATTAGCGCCTAGTATTATTACCCAAATATAAATTCTTATGGACTTATGGAGGCTCTGGACACATGTGTCCATGGCTGGTTCAGTGTTAAGCTTCGAACCACGACACATGTACTATATTATTAAATTTTGGGGAGTCCTCGTGATCACCATTACAGTGATTGAGGAATTCGTGCTAGAACCAGAAATGTCGATTGGACAGTGAATATATCGGTATGATGAAAGGTGGTCACTATTAGTAGTGGTTGTCCAATAGCCTGTTAGCTACTGTGATTGGGGGATATGATTTTTCGGTCGCTCAATTTTAGCTTCCAACCTACAAAATTCTCGGTCGACACTTTTTAACGTCACAGGCACGCATAGTGCCTATACTCACGGCCATAATAATTATTTGACTTAATGTACCACAATTCTGTAGTCTCTACTCAGTATAATTATTATTATACTAAACTTGAGTCTGAAAGTCTACTGGAGCACTTTCTTATGGGGGAGCTGGGTCTCCCACATTAGTTGCTGATATGCCACTTACGTCACAGCCGACTGGAACACACTGTTTACCAACCACAGGAACGTCTATACAGACACAGTTAGGAATCCCAAACCCGTCCCCTGCAGAAAGGGAGGGAGAGATTTAGTGTGTGTGTGTGTGTGATTGGGGAAAGAAGAGAGAGAGGTAAAGTGTAGGCATGACTAAAGCTATAGAGAGTGGGTGGGCGGCTTTTGTCGGCGTCATCGCATGCAGCCAGCCAGGTGCTTAAACGTACATGTAAACCTATCACAAGTCCAGCAACATGCAGGTGCAGTGCTAGGCTCTTTGTTACTGGTCATCAGGGGAGTTCCCATGTCACACGCGTTTCGGCCTCTTTAAACTCCCGACACGTGAGACACTCTAGAAAGGGTGAGGCCACTCCACCTGGTTGGAGTCAAGATTTGCCTACTACATGGCTACAATTATTGTACTTACAAACTAACCTAATTACACAAAGGCAATTTTAGTATAGCAGCTACATGTCCTTAGTAATTACTTGCTTTGGTCTTCTCTATTCTTCACTTCTTTCTTTCTTCACTTTTGCTGCTACTACAGGCAAGCTTGGTTTTATACCTTGTTGTGGATGTTATGTCTACTAAAGTCAAAACTTCCCATGCTGTTAATTAGTGTGTGTGTGTGTGTGTGCGTGTGTGTGTATGACAACTGGCTAGACTAACCTCCATTGGGTCCTTTAGTAACACTGTAGTCCTGACAGTCCTTCACATTCAAAATGTGATAGCAGTATCCAGTTAGAAAGTCAAAAAAGTCTAGAACATTAGTCAAGGTAAAAATGATAGCACGTGATCTCTCTGCTTTTTCTCTCTTACCGCGGCAGATGTCTACAGTCCACGTATAATCCCCAGAATGCCAAGTATAAACCGAGCATAAGGATAAGGGAGGGCTGCATTCTTTTCCTGGCAGCCCATCAATGCACAAATCGCCATCTGTCAATTAGTTAAGATTTTAATTATTATGATGTATGGGGCTTGATTACTAGGGAGTTTTCATTATTCTTCAAGACAAAATAACATATTGATTATGAAACATAGATATCTGTAATTGAGAGAGACTGGCATTTTAACATTGAACTACACAGAATTCGAACCATGTTAAACCATCTTTCCCTAAAAATGCATACAACAACAATTTTCTTCACAGCAGTGTAATAGGTGCTAGCTACTTACTGCTTGCATTGCATCCACGAAGGTCATATTTGTCAAATCCAAGGGTGATAGAGTAAACCGCGTTCGTGTTGCACGTATGGCCAGCAGCTTTAGCCTCGAGGTCGTAGGGATAGGCTGCAGCTGCAGCAATTAAAACTGGAGATTACGTCGGTCTCTATTACCCCAATGGCGGTACTTGGCTCGCTATGATCAACGGCGTAGGACAGCAGTCTACGTGCCCCGGCGCACCAACCGATCAGGACGGGTTCAGCTCTAACAGCAAATGGAACGAATGCAGCGATTCGGCCTTCCGCATCTACGTCAAGGGAAAGTCATCCGGTCAGACTATCGAATCAGGGAACCTTATTTCCCTCTACTATCCGAAGAATGTGGGTAAAGGCTACGTCGAGTATCTCACCGCCGGTTTTACCACTTCGACGTGCATGAAGGATGAATCGATCTCCCTACTGCCGCCTACCAGCACTGCATACGATCAGTGCCCGAGTAGCACCGCTTTTCTTACCATCTACTTGTAGAGGAGAGCCTCTATGGATTGAACTGAAACGGAATGGGATTGAACTGAACTTTGGATTAGCCACACTGTAGTACGTATTATAGCTAGGGACAGGACTTGTTAGTGCATGATCGAGTAGTAGAAAACATGCTGTCATGCTTTATTGTTTTCTCAATGGTGATTATTCATTATAACGCAGAAGCTGTGTTGATGGCAACTTCGTACACACATGAAAGCCTACATATAATTGGCGAGCGAAGCGAGCCTATCTAATCGTCTGAATGCGTGAATATTTCGTAGGTGTTAATTAAAAAAAGTAATCCTCAAAGGGAAAGTCTGAGTAACGGGCACTGTACATACCAATTAAGAAGCATTCTCGCGCTCTCTTGCGCGGCATTGTAGCTAGTTTGTACGTAGCTAGATGCACATGAGCGGCAGGCTTACTGCTGGAGTCTGTGCGTATATAGGTGGGGGGCGTTTTTCAGCGTATCTCAAGGAGATTATCTCCGAACCGAACCGACTTGGCGTCCGCGTGCATGCGCGTCGTGAGGGTTTGCACTTTAGTGCTTTTAATTGTTACCGTAGAGAATGTCCCGCGAGGAATGATGGGATGGCACTTCAAAGATCTAATCCCGTATGGCTTGCCTTACACGCGCCACGCACCGACAGACAAGCCGACTGCCGCAATACTAATGAGAGCTATAAGCGCCTGATTAAACATCAGATCCTTCCATTACGTTGTTGGACCGCACTAATCATATATCATTATACCGTTTCAGTGTCCAATCGCATTTCTGACTCTAGCGCAAATACTCTAATCACTGTAATGGGTTTGTATGATCACCAGGCCCGTCCGCAAGCCGCATGCTGTGCATGGTCCCAACACTTTGCTGCGCTAGCAATTACACGTGCGTGGTGGCTATCAGAGAAGCGGCGGCCACTGAGCAATTATCTGCTTCTGAAGCGATCTCAGTCGTCGACGGACGGAGCGATACCCTGGGCTGCTGGAAAGGAAGAAAAATAATGGCAATCAAAGTGGCACTCCTGGTCGTCTCAGCTATAATTACTGTGGTGTCAGCCAATCCATACGACGTAGCGCACAAAGCTGCTTTCATCATATGCAATCCGAATGCAGTTTACGTAATAATCATTGGATCGTCGAAATATGAGTCGAAGGGCTGCGTTACTCTCCGTAAGTACGTTTCTAAACTTTCACAGTTTTTGTTCTTATAGCCTGGTCATTTCCTAATTGTATCACACTATCACAATAGAATGTGAAAAATGTGTTGATGGTCTACCACCCTATGGTTGCAGTGGTCTGCTACATAATTGCTACCTCTTTATTTGGTATTCTGGGGAATTTAGATGGGCTGTCCGGATCTGCGAGGGTTAAGCGAGTAAAAGGAGCAGAGAAATCACATGCTAATCACTATAATTAATGTTTCAGAATACACTTCAAACTTCATGATTCAGCGCTGCTATGAAACCTTTAATGTAAAGAACTGTGAACATTTACCCTTTCGGGAAGAAAGTACGTTGTAATTAACCCTCGGCGCGCATGCGCAGCGAGGGTTACGGTAGTTGTGTCTGTCAGTCTGTCAGTCTGTCTGTTACCACCGCGCGCACGATATGATCGGGTTCAGTGTTACACTGGGTTGATTTTTAAAAAGGCGATTTTCATAAAACTACTGTGTTCTAAAGTTATGGCGTAAAAACCAAGTGAACAAGCCAATATGCAAATTAGCACAGGCTTATATACCTCGACCGCGTCCGTTCGCTCTGTGTGTCTTGAAGGCACAACAAGTCACAACGAAGGGCATGTATCGACTCCCGCGTGCTATTTACTACTGTAGCTAGCCCGTGCCAGACTCTCCGCGAGCTACTAGCGGGATACCACGAGTAAAGGCATAAAAAGCCCAGCCCATCAATTAGTGGTACCACACATGCGCAGTTCGCCGAGGCTTTGCACTTTAATTACCACTCGGCGCGCATGCGCATCGAGGGTTAGAGTAGTCGTTCTGTCTGTCTGTCTGTGTGTCCGCGCAAGTTCTAGCACTACAGGGTACGAGGCGGCCAATGGGCACCAACGGGTTGTGAACGACGAGAAGATTGATATTAATGTGGCGATTCCCAAAACGACTGCGTTCCAGAGATATGGCGTGAAAACAAGCGAAAAAGCCAACGCGCGGTCCACCGCGCACGCGCCCTCTCCTGCAGGCTATAATAACTATATAGCGCGCACGCGTAATGTCAATTAATCGCCGGAGCATGCGCTTGGTGGTATATGGCCTCCTGTCAGTTTTGATCTCTGTTCCCTATGGATAAAACGATAAACATGCTGAGCAAGCAATAGTTATAAAACGTCTGGCGAGAGCATTGAAACACAGAAGAGCGGATAGATTGAATAGAGCAAATATAAGAGCCTCTGAAACACCTGAGCTATTGCTCTAACCGCTAATGCAACTATCCCGTGTTACGGTGAAACTCGTGTTACTGGCTCTGTCGATGACGCACGGCCCAACATACAGCGATGCTACAACTCGCTAGTTTACCGCCGAGGGTTTGCACTTTAGTGCTTTTCATTAACCCTCGGCGCGTATGCGCAGCGAAGGGTTACGGTAGTTGTCCCGTAAGTGTGTCTGTCAGTCTGTCAGTCTGTCTGTTACCACGTTTTCTGCCACCACGCGCACGAAATCTAGTAAATAGCGATATGATCGGGTTCAGTGCTACACTGGGTTGATTTAAAAAAAGGCGATTTTCGTAAAACTACTGCGTTCTAAAGTTATGGCGTTAAAACCAAGTGAACAAGCCAATATGCAAATTAGCACAGGCTTACCTAGACCGCGTCCGCTCGCTCTGTGTATCTTGAATGCACAAGAAGTCACAACGAAGGGCATGTATCGACTCCCGCATGCAATCTACTACTGTAGCTAGCCCGTGCCAGACTCTCCGCGAGCTACTAGCGGGATACGAGTAAAGAAAAGCCCAGCCCTCCAATTAGTAGTACCGCGCATGCGCAGTTCGCCGAGGGTTTGCACTTTGCATTATTATTTTATGAATGATCTTTTCTTCTTCATCCACACACAGAAGAAGATAGTGTTGACTGTGAATGGTGTCTAGATCACAGCTATATTATATTTTAGCTATAGCTAGCTGGCTAGCCCATGGACATCTATACGCACAGACTAATGTTTCAACCACAAAATCTCTCTCTATCCAACACAGCTAAGGATACCCAGAATCCTGACTGCTTCTGTGTAGAGAATACGGGTACGGGTGATAGTGTGTGTGTGTCCCAGGCAACTGTGACGCTTCCCTCTGAACTGAGCAGCAACTGCGAATACAAACTAGAATGAAAAGCACTAAAGTGCAAACCCTCGGCGAACTGCGCATGCGCGGTACCACTAATTGATGGGCTGGGCTTTATATGCTGGGCTTTACATACCTTTACTCCCCGCTAGTTGCTCACGGAGAGGCTGACGCGGGCTAGCTACAGTAGTAGATAGCATGCGGGGGTCGATACATGGCCTTCGTTGTGACTTCTTGTGCCTTCAAGATACACAGAGGGAGCGGACGCGGTCGGGGTAAACCTGTGCTAATTTGCATTTTGGCTTGTTCACTTGCCCTTCACGCCATAAGCAGAAGTTATATCTCAAAATCGCCTTTTTTAAAATGAAGCCAGTGTAGCACTGAACCAGTTACTATCGCTCTTTGGCCGATTTCTTGCGCGTGGTGGCAGAAAAGATGGTAACAGACAGACGGACAGACACACTTACGAACCAAGTACTATAACGCTCTAGCGCATGAGTGCCGGGGGTTAACTACACTCTCCGTACATACGTATTGTCATAATGAGAGCGTGCAGAGGCCAATAATAATGTTATCGTATAGCTAACGAGCTGTCTTCAACCTCATGATCGCTATAGATGCCGGCATAACTCCAACAAACCCGTGTTCATTCGCGCAACGGCACCGCGCACGGTGTCGCGCACTTATATAGCAGCAGGCGGCGCGGCGCGTTCACAATTTTTGTTGGGGTCATTCAGCCAGCGACAATTCCAAAACATTATCTTCTATAGATCCATATTTTCCGGTGGCCGAAGGACAAAAGACGCACATAGACTACGCGCCTGCTATTATATATTCGCGCGCCATGTGCAAACACAACATAATGCTCACCAGACTAAGACAGACTAAGTACAATACATTAAGCAGCAGAAAATACGCAGTAGCTATATACAGCTATAATACAGTCGTTTGTTCTATTATAGTTGCTGCCTTGTTACATTATAAGGGGGGCATCATCATCAAGCATCACAGTTCTCAGGGATGCAGACTCTTTCTCCTGAGGTATCTTCAATACAGACACACTCAGTCTCTGAATAAAAAAACAAGTTTAATTGGCGAGTGAAGTGAGCCTAATGTGGGAGCTAGAGCGCGTCCGCAACGGCAAAGAGAAGAGTTGGCTGAGAATATATAGTGGATATATTTCTCATGACCATGCCGAGTAGCTAGCTCTTTTTATACAAAAAGAACAGGAAAAGGAGGGGTAGACAGTGTGACTTGTGACGACACCGAATGATATGCAACCTAGGGTGTGAGGAGGAGGTAGGTGAAACCAAGAGGCGGGCATTGCATTGGTGGCCTTTAGTGACAGGTACAACAGAGTGTGGGTAGGAAGGATATGAGAGGAACGTAGTGGAATAACTCAAAAGAAATCAAACAAACTCAAAAGGGTGACAGAATGCATCAGACAGGTATGGGTGAAATCATCGGAGCCAGCTACTCTCTAGATACTATTATGGTGAAGGACTTAGCATTACTCTAAACCTAAGTGTCACTAAAATTCAGTTACCAGGAAGGGCAAGGGACGGAGGAGGTTTCCTTCACACTAATACCTTGCGGGAAGTCGGGCGCCGTAATGTACGTGATTCTAAATACGCGCAAAGCTGCGCGTGAAATATTGAACTGCTCGTGATAGAGTAATTATACATACCTACCAACCTGCAGACGAACCTCTGCTTCAGAAATGTGTCAAATCTGCTTGAATTGGAGTATTTTTGCTGTGTGTCCATTCAAAATGTATAGGCATGGTGCACTGTGCATCACAGGTAAGCACAAATAAGAGGGGTTTGGCAATTTTCTGGTGGGATATGCGGTATATTTTTGCTTGATTATCAAAGCAAAAAGCTGGATGGTTGGTATAGGTATGAGAGTATTATAATTATTTTAAGTAGCACCTTGGGCTTCCAGACAGTTGGGTATGGTGCTCTTCAAAAAGCAGTAGCCAGATGGACCTGAATGTATAGTGAAAGTTTTTTTTGGTTCACTGTGCTGATAACTTGATAATCTGCAATCATAATTATTAGCCCATATTAACTCTTGTTGAATTAACTATTCGAACGGAAGAAATGTAATCTCCTTATTTTTAGTGTCCTCATTTCAGGAGGTGAGCAATACTGTTCTATAATTATAAATATGATGTTGTTATGTCCTTAGAATGAGGTTCCACTCTATACTGTAACCAAAACTCACGACGACAAACGACAATGTTCCATTCGATGAAGAACGTCTCCCACCAATAACTACGGCAAAAGTCAGATGAGGAACACTCGGGCAGTGGAACTTCGGCCAGACACAGAGTGCCTTCTGATTCTGCAAGGAGCAACCAATGCAAGAAAACTTGGCCAACTGTATACTGTCGTATGCTTACTATTTACTTCTAAGTGCAATGGAAACCAGTAAGTGCTGGCACGGGTAGCATATCGTAGAAATTGCAGAGTGTTAGGGGTTTGCCTTTGCCTTGTGTTGTATCGCAGTTTATTTGAGCACTGGCTGCTGTGAGCTTCATCAGTGTTCAGCTATAGAGCAATATCTATTGAGGACTTAGTTTCGTATGTGTGAGTCCAACTCAGGGCAGCTTTATTCAATGAAATGATATTGCTCTTTCTCTCGTTTACATAATTCATGGCATTGCACGTGGGTATAGGGCTGGGGACAAGTTCGGCCTGCACGCACGCGCCAAAAACTGCCGCGTGACAGTGCGGGTCACATCTCGCATTCACACGACTAGGGTCACCCAAGTATTATTATTATGTTGATGTATAGGTGATGAGTATATTATACAACTTACCATCAAAACATGTTGTGATGGTGTACCTATTCTCTTCATCAATTTCGAGATCGGCATCGGTATAGATGCATCTCTCACCAACAGGCGGCATGGTTGGAACAGGCTGCAGTGATCAGCAGCACAAGAGGCAATAGCTACAGTATAGTTACTGGTGCCTGCAGCTTATCTTTCCTCGGTGGTTGTGGGTGGTTGTGTCGGCTCGCAAGTACACGCATCCACTGAAGAAAGCAACAACAGCTAGCTATCAGCTATGCATTATAATTGCTATCGCTTTACATTGGTCCTCGGAGCAGATGTCGATAGAGCTGTCCAGTAAACAGTGTCCAGGGCTGAATGGATCTAAAAAATGAATGTGCTGTTAGTATTTTCCGAAAGCCTTAGCGCGGGTCGTATCGCACGCTTTGGAATGCAATTAGTAATGGTTAGGGATGCAATTAAAAGTCTAGCTGCCGCGTCCGGCGATCGGTGGCTGAGCGGTTAGCAGGCTTCATAAACAGGGGCAGAGGAACCACGCAATTGCGAAAGCCAGGAAAAACTAAAGAACGCGTGAGACGGATCAAGACAACTGGCCGACGACAATCGTCGGTAGCGGGCCCAAAAAGCGCGCAATCATATTATTTTCCGCGGAAGAAAACTTTAATCGTCGCTTGCTAGATCGCAAGCTGCATTTTTCGAAGCTGCTATATAGTTATTGCGACTCTGCGCGTGGCCAATAGCTACTTATCTCTCAGAATACTTTGGCAAACAACGGTTCTCCAACGGATTGAGTTTGATGTCCAGTAATTGGTGAAGCACTGGGCCCAACGGGCCGTGCATTTCTCCATATCAATTGGATATTAGTCAAGCACAAAGACTCTTCGTTTTCTGAAGGGAAAAAGACAGACAATTGAGAGTATCGATTCGAATAGAAGTACAAATTGGTTGTGTACTAAATAGCACGTCAAAAAAAATCAGAAATCTTTCCAGCTGAGTACTAAGTCAGGCATGCAGATATTCTTACCATCAAAACATGTGGTGAAAGTGTAGACAAACGATCCAATGGTCAAGTAATGAGCATTTTTTAGGTAGCAAGAATCAGTCTCTGATTCCTCTATTAGAGCCGACTTAGCTACCACAGCAATTGAGATGAGAGCCCACAACAACATCATGGCCGTGTTACAGGCACCAAACACTGAAAAGGCAGACGTAACTATGACTCCAATTCAGCTGGAATAAAAAAGGCCACGTTTTTTCGCACTACAAACTCTGACGAAGGTATATATACGTAGCGTTCTCTTTTTGAGGGTTGCCAAGTTCTATTTAGCTACACACGCTACAAGCATTCCTTTTAGGGCCATTGCCAGCTATTACGTAAGATAACCAGCAGCCAGCATGACGAGCTTTCGCGTGCCCACAATTGGGGAGTGTCCGCCATCTTCTATAGCCCGAAGCGCGGAAGTATAACGTATTTGCCATACTATAGAAATGGGTCATTCGAAGAATTTGGCTGGTATATATAGCTACAAGTGGAAAAATCATTTCTTCAAAATGAAAGGGGGATATAGGGATGGCTTGAAGCACCAAAAAGGAAGAAACAAGGGGTCATCATTACACAGCAAAGTTGCACAAAGCTACATGACACCATCCCTATATTTTTGTTTGATATTGTTTGATATTAAACTTTGCTTATAAACAATAAAACAAAGATATAGGGGTGGTGTCAAGTAGCTTTGTGCAACTTTGCTGTGTAATGATGACCCCTTGTTTCTTCCTTTTTGGTACTTCAAGCCATCCCTATATCCCCCTTTCATTTTGAAGAAATGATTTTTCCACTTGTTTCCACAATTTTTAACAGCTTCTGGCAACACTGCATTTATTGTTACAGTCACTCTGATGTTCATGGCTATGTTGTAGATAGGCTACCATAGAAAAATTGAAAGTAGTAGCTAATGGGCTGCTAGATACCACGTATTGTCTTCAACAAGGATGTAATTAGATTATTGCACTTGGTTCATTGGCAGGCTTTGGTAATCAGGCTACAACCTGGGGGGACAAACAATGAAGGCCCATTTGACTGAGTACCCCGCAAGGCTCGTGTAACACCGCGCAGACTCTGGCAAGTTGCTCTTCGTGCATATCAACAGCAAGATAACCAGTTGGAAATGTGCACACTTACTTACAGAAGGTACTGGAGGCTGACAGTTCCTCTGCAGGTCTGCCAACTCGCCCGGTAGAATACGCTCGCAAGCACATTGGACAACGCCCCTGCCTGGCGCATGCGCGCGGATCACTGATGCTGAGTAAGCAGCAAATGGCGTTGTTCAGGTCGACCAGGGAAGAGCTCCATGATCTACCGTGGTGACTAGCGGCAAGAAAGAAACGATCGCTTGATGTCCGTGCACACCTCCGGCGAAATTGGAGACCTTCAGTGAAAAAATCAGTGCTTGAACTGGTACTGGTAAAGAGGTAGCGGGTTTAAAGAAGAAGAAAAAGATGAAGAATATGATGACACGAAAATCGTGAAATCGCGTATGAGCGAATTCTCGCGTGGACGACTGAAGGTGCCTATGAGCTCTTGGGGGACATGTATAGGTAGATATGGGCCCGTAGACTATTGCTAGTATGTTTTGAAGGCCTAGGAAGTGATTCTCACCGAGTTTTTAGTCGTTTTGTACGCGGATCACGTGAGATTTCACCCGTGTCATCCCTATATAGAGAGTCTACCGACTCTCTAATAAAAACACACACCTCGTGCAGTGATGAGCACTACATGTTATAGCCAAATGTTAGATGTCAGATGGAGGGGCACTTTATTGTTGCGGTCTCTCAACTCATTACTGTAATTGAGGAATGCTGGCTGGAGCCAGACATGCAATTGAGAAAGTGATACAAAAGACTTTTCTTGGAAGTCATATTTCTTTTACAGAATTTGGAGAAGGCTTTGCAAATTCAGACTTGCAAGAAGTCTGAATTTGCAAAGCCTTCTCCAAATTCTGTAAAAGAGCTCCCTACTTTGTCTGGTGTACTTTAAAGTCAACTACTACGCTACAATTTCTTACAAAGAAATTGTAGCTTAGTAGTTGTGGACCTACAGTACATTATGGGAATGTGGGCTAAAAGCTTGACATGCAAGGAGTAGCTAAAGTGATACAAAAGAACCATTTTCCTATAAAGAAGCCATTCCTTTTGGAGTGATTGGGGAATATGTGGCAAAGCTGAAGTTGTTGTCCCACACTATCATTGTCATTAGCTATCATCATTAGGGAGATGTGCACTGCTGCCTGCTAGTGCCAGATGTGCAAGATGGAGAGCCAGTGGGCACTGATTTTAGTGTTTGTGGTACTACAATTCATCATGGGAATGTGGGCTAAAAGCCAGAAATGCAAGGAGGAAAAATGGTGCACGAGAAACTCATTCCCTTTACTGTAAATGGTGGCAAAGTCAGACTTGCAATGTGAAGAGTTTGAAAGAAAATTTACGATTAGTAGCTAGTTGCTGTCCAACATAATTTTCTTAGATAGATGAGCACTACATGGTGCAAACTCTGACGAAGGTATATATACATAGCGTTCTCTTTTTGAAATATCTAGGGTTGCCAAGTTCTATTTAGCTACACACGCTACAAGCATTCCTTTTAGGGCCATTGCCAGCTATTACGTAAGATAGCCAGCAGCCAGCATGACGAGCTTTCGCGTGCCCACAATTGGGGCATCTTCTATAACGTATTTGCCCTCCTATAGAAATGGGTCATTCGAAGAATTTGGCTGGTATAGCTATAAAAACACACATCTCGTGCAGAAAAGGTTCCATTTAGAGTCAGGCGGTGCTAGCCTCATGGGCACTGTGTCGATTTTCGCTAGAATGATGAGCATGGTCCGCTCACAATAAGAGATAATTATTGTGTGTCAGTCTCACCGACAAACGCGTTCGAAAAAAGGGATTTGCTCTACACGCCTAGATCATGAATCATGACTTGTCGCTGTCATTTTTGCCTCGCGCATGTGCGCATGATTATTTTATGAGTTAATGATCAACTAACTAAAGGACAACTGACATTACAACTACTGCAGTTCAATCTAAACTAGCTACATTTGAGTCTGAAAGTTTCTTTAGCCTTTGGTGCTGAGCGGTCACGGGTTAGTTCCGCGGGAAGCATCACAATTGTCTGGTACACACGTCTTAGCTCCCGACGTCTCATCCTCCACGCAGAAGCAGGGACTGACATCAGCTGTAGCCAAAACAAAGAGACAGAGGGGCGCTCATCCTCCACGCAGAAGCAGGCATTCATGTTAGCTGTAGTCAGGGGGCCTTTGCCCATATAAAAATTCATCAGGCACGTGGTAGGATTGTAAGCAACATATATAGCTAGCTACACTTTGCTGCAATAAAATTAAACTCAACGTACCTTTCTCCCCTTCGTTGAGCTCGCGGCATACAAGTTTACCATTAATCTCCACACATATTTCACCACCAGGTGGTGGTTCTTGTTTTAAACACCGACCAAAAACATACAGTTACAATAATAATAAAAAGTACAACATACCAGTAGTTACTACATCAGCACAGCTCTTTGTAGTAGTCACAATATGGCAGTAACCAGGAGTCCAAGTGTCTAAAAATATTTTTAAAATTGATAACCTACTTCAACTCTTTCTGCTTACTCTTGCATATCTTAGCTACCCACACTTCAGATGCTCCAAGGGACCAAGTATACACGTAGCACTGGCCTGGAGTCGAAGTGCATTGCGGTGGTAGCCCCTTGATGCAAATTACTAAATCTGCACCTGTACCTGCAAAAATTATATGAGACATGTTTGTAACTAGTTAGCTTATTGTACTTATGAATGTGTAGCTAAACTTACCTTTAGAACAGCCGCTCAGTTCTATAATGTCAATTCCAATTGTTATGGTGTATTTTGCCGCTGGATTGCAATACAGATCATCCTCGGTGGTGACCGCTATAGGGTCGTAGGGATTGGCTGCAGCCACAGCAATTAGAGCTGAGACGGCCAGGAGTGCCACTTTGATTGCCATTTCTTCCCTTTCCAGGACAATACGGAGCTAGGCCTCTTGAAATCCTTAGAATTAGAAACAGGAGAATCTCTCAGTCGCTGGATGGATGCAGAGAGGTTCAAATTCTGTTTTTGTACACTTTCAACAGGAAGTCGCCTCTTCAAGGCTGTGATTGAGACATTTTTGCTCCCTACTTTATCTGGTGTACTTTAAAGTCATTCCTTTTACAGTTATTGGGGAAATTATGGCAAAGCAAGACTTGCAAGAAGAAGAAAGAAATTGCAGCTTAGTAGTTGTGGACATACAGTTCATTATGGGACATTATGGGAATGTGGGCTACAAGCCGGAGGAAAATGGTACAAGAGAATCAGCTACCTTGAAATTCCTTTTATGGTGAATGGGGATAATGATCCAAAGTCAGACTTGGAAGGTGAAGAGCTTGGAAGAATATATACGATTAGTAGTTGCTGTCCAACATAATTACATAATTACTTTAGAGTGATGAGCACTACATGTTATAGCCAAATGTTAGATGTCAGATGGATGGAGGGGCACTTTATTGTTGCGGTCTCTCAAATCATTACTGTAATTGAGGAATGCTGGCTGGAGCCAGACATGCAATTGAGAAAGTGATACAAAAGACTTTTCTTGGAAGTCATATTTCTGTTACAGAATTTGGAGAAGGCTTGGCAAATTCAGACTTGCAAGAAGAAGAAAGAAATTGCAGCTTAGTAGTTGTGGACCTACAGTACATTATGGGAATGTGGGCTAAAAGCTTGACATGCAAGGAGTAGCTAAAGTGATACAAAAGAACCATTTTCCTATAAAGAAGCCATTCCTTTTGGAGTGATTGGGGAATATGTGGCAAAGCTGAAGTTGTTGTCCCACACTATCATTGTCATTAGCTATCATCATTAGGGAGATGTGCACTGCTGCCTGCTAGTGCCAGATGTGCAAGATGGAGAGCCAGTGGGCACTGATTTTAGTGTTTGTGGTAGCTACTACAATTCATCATGGGAATGTGGGCTAAAAGCCAGAAATGCAAGGAGGAAAAATGGTGCACGAGAAACTCATTCCCTTTACTGTAAAATGGTGGCAAAGTCAGACTTGCAATGTGAAGAGTTTGGAAGAAAATTTACGATTAGTATATAGCTAGCAAGTTGCATTTTCTTAGATAGATGAGCACTACATGGTGCCGCTAGATGCCAGATGTGCAACATGAAGGGCACTGGTAATTATTGTTGTGGTCCCTCAAATTACTGTGATTGAGGAATGCTGGCTGGAGCCTGACATGGAGAGTGGCACTAAAGAGTCTTAGAATAGTGCTCAGACCCACACACTTTTACTCCAGTCAATATTGGATTGGAGTTTCTTTGGTGTGCCTCTGATTCATCCTATTTCTCATGGGAGACCTGCACTAATCCATTGAAGGTGTGCTAAGGTTTACTCAATGCAGATATTCGCTCTGAGCCCTGTCACTATTGTCAAAGAGACCAATTGCCTATGCTTTTGACTTGATTGGTGAGTGAAGCGAGCCTATCTAGTCGTCTCAATGGGTCGATTTTCTCTCTAGTTCTCTCCGGCGATACTACACCCGTTCTACAAAAAACGCGCGAAATAATAGCACCGTAATGTTGTCTAAAATACGCGCAAAACACTCGCGAAATATTGAACTGCTTGCGCTACGAACTGCGCTCGCCAAAACACTCGGTTCGAAGGTTGCACATTGGATTTTGTAGCACACGATCAAATTCCGCGTCGGGCTGCGTATGTTCGGTATGTGAAAACGGCTGCTGACAGTCTGTCTTTCCCCCGCTCGTCGCCGACCGTCCTAAATTTCCCTCCGGCCTGATTGCCGTAGCTAGGTGGCCGTCAGATAGTGCAAGCGAGCACGACGTTCACGGCATCACGTGACGCACGCACGGGGCAGACGCCAGGTGTGTGGACAGACGGCATGCGGCAGAGCAATTGTTTATTTCTTTACGGTGATAGTTGAATGGGGGCTAGAGCCAGAAATGCAAGGTTGAAAGTCGTACAGAAGAAGGATTCTTGGAAGTTATTCCCTTTTATGGAGAATGAGTTGTATTGCCAAGTTAGACTTGCAAGAAAGAAGATTAGTGCTTTCCGTACAATCCATTATGCTGATTGGGGAATATGACCTAGAGCCAGGCATACAAGCCGGGAAATAAGTACAGAAGCTGATACTTTCAAAGTCATTCGTATTTGAGGAATGCATGAGAAAGTCAGACTTGCAAGGAGTTGTGCTCCAAAAATAATGATTGGAGATTAGCCAGATATGCGGCCTGAAAATTGTACAAACGAGAAGTCAGTCCTTTTTTTGCTTTTGAAATGCATGGCAAAGTCAGACTTGCAAGAAAGAAGATTAGTAGTTGTAGTCCTACAATTCATTATGCCGATTGGGGAATATTGGCTAGAGTCAGACGTACAAGGCGGAAAGTCGTAGCTATACAAAAAGCTGATTCTCAGAAGTCATTCCCTTTACAGTATTTGGAGAATGTGTGACAAGGTCTCACTTGCAAGGAGAAGAGTAGTAGTTGTTGTCCAACGGTTCATTTCAGTAGTTGGGTAAAAGTGGGCCAGAGCCAGTTGAAAGTTGTACACTAATTGGAAGTGATTCCTTGTGTGATTGGGAAATGCGTGGCAGGAAAAGCAATGAGTAGGGTAGGAAATTGAGATGCTAAGCCCCCGATAATTACTTGCGGAAAATGGATGAAGATCTAAAGTACAGCTTCGTCTGTAGCTAAGCTATATTAGGGAGTCGGTAGACTCTCTATATAGGGATGACACGGATGAAGTCTCACGTGATCCGCGTACAAAACGGCGAAAAACTCGGTGAGAATCACTCCCTAGGCCTTAAAACATACTAGCAATAGTCTACGGGCCCATGTCTACCTATACATATCCCCCAAGACCTCATACTCACCTTCAGTCGTCCACGAGAGAATTCGCTCTTACGCGATTTCACGATTTTCGTGTCACCATCATAATTATTCTTCTTCTTCTTTAAACCCGCTATCTCCTTACCAGTACCAGTTCAAGCACTGATTTTTTCACTGAAGGTCTCCAATTTCGCCGGAGGTGTGCACGAACATCAAGCCATCGTTTCTTTCTTGCCGCTAGTCACTACGGTAGATCGTGGAGCTCTTCAAATGGTCGACACTGAAGAACGCCATTTGCTGCTAACTCAGCACTAGTGAGCCGCGCGCATGCGCCAGGCAGGGGCGTTGTCCAATGCTACCAGGCGAGTTGGCATACCTGCAGAGGAACTCTCAGCCTCCAGTACCTTCTGTAAGTAAGTGTGTACATTTCCGACTGGCTAGCTTGCTGTTGGTTTGCACGAAGAGCAACTTGCCAGAGTCTGCGCTGTGTTACGCGAGCCGCGGGGCGCTCAGTCAAATGGGCCTTCATTGTTTGTCCCCCCAGGTTGTAGCCTGATTACCAAAGCCTGCCCATGAAGCCACAACCATGTGCAATAATCTAATTACATCCTTGTTGAAGAAAAAACATGAGGTGAACACTGTATCTAGCCCCTGCTTCAGGCACTAGCAGCCCCATTAGCTACTACATTCAACAGTTACAATTTGTCGTATCTACAACACGTATATCCATGAACATCAGAGTAACTGTAACAATAAATGCAGTGTTGTCATTAGCTGTTAAAAATAGTGGAAACAAGTGGAAAAATCATTTCTTCAAAATGAAAGGGGGATATAGGGATGGCTTGAAGCACCAAAAAGGAAGAAACAAGGGGTCATTACACAGCAAAGTTGCACAAAGCTACATGACACCATCCCTATATCTTTGGTCGATATTAAACTTTGCAATAAAACAAAGATATAGGGATGGTGTCATGTAGCTTTGTGCAACTTTGCTGTGTAATGACCCCTTGTTTCTTCCTTTTTGGTGCTTCAAGCCATCCCTATATCCCCCTTTCATTTTGAAGAAATGATTTTTCCACTTGTTATTATACCGCTTGACGGCGGGCGCAACCGCTAAGATTTCACCGGGTGTTATGGTCTGTGCAGGGGCTTGGGTGTCGCGGTGTCAGTGCGCGAGCAAACTGGGAGTTCTAATCACAATGGATTTCCCCACTCAGCCCCCTTATGTCCCCAATAGGGGAAAGGTGAGGGGCATTCGGCGCATTTAGTCCCACATGCTTTTCAATATCCTGCAAGAGGCCTACTTTTGGTATAGGCAAATTATGACTATTAAGAAGTTGTTATAAGCTAATTTAAAAGTTCTTTCAGACTAGACGGTTTTCATCGCTTGCTCGTCGTCCCTTACGCATGCGTGCCAGCGCAGACCCAAACGCGGGGGTACTATAAAAGGAATCCCCGAGCGCCTACGTGTCATTGTCATCAGCCGTGCGAAAAAAACGCCGAATCGTGAACAATGAAGCTTCTTCTGATTATCTGTCTCGGTCTGCTGGCCTTCATCAGTGTCCCAGCTCTGTGTCTGCCAGAGCGACATTCGTCGCTCAAATATCCGTACTTTTATCGTGAAAGAAACGGTTAAAACTCACTGTCTGCTCTGTCAATGGTTAACGCAGCATGACAAAGTTGTATTTTTAGGCTTGAAAGCGACACAACTTTTACTGTGTTCTCTCAATCCCGATACTATTCCTTTTTCCTTCAGTGTTGCCAGGACATACCGCTGAAGAATTTGGTCGTGGACAGTTTGGTCGCGTTACGCAGCGTCGTAAGTTGCAATACACAAAGTATGGCCGGCGAGATTACATTTTTCTTTCTAGAGAACTCGTTGCGTGCAGAGGCTGCCCGCACTGCGTCTGATCTGGCAAAAACTCAAGCAAGAGGTGAGCTCCAGACGCCTTCTGTGATGGCTGTTATTATAACCCCCGTTTCTCGGCTTACAGTGCTGGCGCAAGGCTCCGGCGTGGCACTCCTATTGCCCGGGCATGACTATCATCTATGGGTCGGTTGCACTTGCACCGTCTGCAAACTCGAGCACTGCCCCGGACATTCTTTCGCTGACGTCGATCAGTTCGAGTGCCCAGAGAATTCTTTCCAGCTGTACAGGGCACTGGGACCAGGCAACATTAGAACTGGAGATTTCGTCGGTCTCTATTACCCCAATGGCGGTACTTGGCTCGCTATGATCAACGGCGTAGGACAGCAGTCTACATGCCCCGGCGCACCAACCGATCAGGATGGGTTCAGCTCTTACAGCAAATGGAACGAATGCAGCGATTCGGCCTTCCGCATCTACGCCAAAGGAAAGTCATCCGATCAGACTATCGAATCAGGGAACCTTATTTCCCTCTACTATCCGAAGAACGTGGGTAAAGGCTACGTCGAGTATCTCACCGCCGGTCTTACCACTTCGACGTGCATGAAGGATGAATCGGCCTCCCTATTGCCGCCTACCAGCGCTGCATATGATCTGTGCCAAAGTAGCACCGCTTTTTCTTACCATCTACGCAATAGAGGAGAGCCTCTATGGATTGAACTGAAACGGAATGGGAATGAACTGAACTTTAGTGGATTAGCCACACTGTAGTACGTATTATAGCTAGTAACAGGACTTGTTAGTGCATGATCGAGTAGTAGAAAGCATGCTGCCATGCTTTATTGTTTTCTCATGGTGATCATTCATTATAGCGCAGAAGCTGTGTTGATGGCAACTTCGCATACACATGAAAGCCTATAGCTATATACATTGGCGAGCGAAGCGAGACTATCTATATAATCGTCTGAATGCGGGAATATTTCGTAGGTATTAATTAAATAAGCAGGCTTACTGCTGGAGTCTGTGCGTATATAGGTGGAGGGCGTTTTTCAGCGTATCTCACGGAGATAATCTCTGGTTTCTCCGAACCGACTTGGCTGTCGTCCGCGTGCATGCGCGTCGAGCGCACGCGAAGCGTGATTAGCCTATAGTTACAATAGCCCCGTCGCGCTGTGCCCATTCTATCCTCGCGAAGCGGCAACGCCGGTACGGCGCGACACGGGGCTATTGTGAACCTAAGTTGCCGACGAGGCGCCGAATTCAGGTTTATTTTTGATAGCTAGCTACCTCTGAGTCTGCAAAGTAAAGCAAACGGATTTCAGAGTCCTTGGGCAATATAGAGCGGGGTCTGTGGTGGTGTGTAAATCAATCAATCAATTATTATAATTATAATTATTATTATTATTATTATTATTATTATATAAAACAGACGTAGCCAAAATACACAGTATCAAACTTTCACGACTTTTTCCACGCCGTAGCTATTATTACGAATTCCCATTGCGGGACCCAGAGTAAAACATCACTGCCCACTGACACTCCATCTTGCACATCTTATTACACGCATATAGCTAGTGCACAAACTCCCCAATAATGATTAGGCGAGCAGAGCGAGCCACCTAACCCGCGAGCCCTTTTGAGTTAGTACGTCCGAGCGAGAACGGCGGCACAGTTCTTTGTCTGGAATCGTCTCTCTCTCTCTCTCTCTTGGTAGTAAAGGTATCACCAGAGAGATCTACCAGTGCAGTAAACGTCATTGTCGAGCCCAATGACCCTCTGTCAATGTCCGCGTATAGACTACTCTCATGCAGAGACAGAGATCTACGTTGGCCATAGGCAAAGCGCTTTCTCCTCCGCTCACCCAAAGAGTACCAAGCATCGCCGCTTGATAATGTGGGACAAAAACTTCCAAGAATCAATTACCTTCCCCACTCTACACCTGGCAAGTCGTGCTTTGCCACATATTCCCTGGTGACTGTAAAAAGGAATGACTTCTAAGAATCAGCTTCTCTTGTACCATTATCCTTCTTGCATTTCTGGCTTGTAGCCCACATTCCCATAACGTCCGATAATGAATTGTAGGTCCACAACTACTAAGCCACGATTTCTTTCTTCTCCTTGCAAGTCTGACTTTGCCTAGCCTTCTCCAAACACTGTAAAAGGAACGAATTTTCTCAATTGCATGTCTGGCTCCAGCCAGCTTTCCTCAATCACAGCAATGAGAGACCGCAACTACTAACAAAATCATCAGTGCCACCTGGCTCTTCATCTTGCGCATCTGGCACTAGCAGGCAACAGTGCATATCTCGCTAATGATGATGATAGCTGATGACAATTATAGCTATTGATAATGTGGGACAAACAACTTCTAAGGATCAATTTCCTTCCCGTCTCTTCACCTTGCAAGTCTGGCTTTGCCGCATATTGACCCTCGCCTGCGCGCATGCGCAGCGTGGGTTATTGCTGTGTGTGTGTGAAATGTCAAAAGGCCTGCTTCCTGTTGAAAGTGTATAAAAACGGACTTTTAACCTCTCTGCATCCATCCAGCGACTGAGAGATTCTCCTGTTTCTAATTCTAAGGATTTCAAGAGTCCTAGCTCCGTATTGTCCTGGAAAGGAAGAAAAAATGGCAACCAAAGTGGCACTCCTGGTCGTCTCAGCTCTAATTGCTGTGGCTGCAGCCTATCCGTGGGACCCTATAGCGGACGCCGCTGCTCTCGATGAAGGGGCGAAGGCGGGTAAGTTCTAGCCTATCTTGCTCTCATGTGCTTGATGTAATAATACACAACTTAGGTAAAGGCGCCCCTCTGTCTCTTTGTTTTGACTACAGCTAATGTCGTTCCCTGCTTCTGCGTGGAGGATGAGACGTCGGGAGCTAAGACGTGTATACCAGACAATTGTGATGCTTCCCGCGGAACTAACCCGTGACCGCTCAGCAGCAAATGCTAAAGAAACATTCAGACTCAAATGTAGCTAGTTTAGTATTGGGTAGAATCGCACATTTTCTCAGTGATCGTTTGTCGTTCAGCGTTCGCGCTTGCATGTTTCGCCACGAGCGGACACAACATTTCCGCGTGCTTTTAGCGCGAGGATTAGCGATAAGTTTGAAGGTTTCTCGATACATTTTTAGCTAGAATACTTATAGGCATTTATTTTTCTCTCTCACACACAAGGCAGAGCGATAGCCTCTGAACCCAGCCCCACGCGGTTCGTTTTTGTACGCGCACGCGCAGATTGTGCGCTTACGCTCATTGGGAGGTTGCGCGTGCGCAGTCTGAGATACGGAGAGGCTAAGTCAAAATTTGGCTGAAATCAGGACTGGAAACAACAGAGAAAAAGCGTAATCAACCTTCAAATGATCCGCAGCCCCCCGCAGTAAAGGCACGCCATCTCCCTGGTTTCCCAGCTCGTCTGTTGGTGCATCACTACTCGCACCGGCCCCTGGGCTACTTGTAGTCGTTTCTTCTCCCGCTGCAGTTGTTACTGCAGGCGGAAAAGAGCTCGCTGGTTGAGAGGTTTCTGTTTTGGCGGGAGTTTCGAGACTTGTCTCCGTACTTGGTGGTTGTGTTGTAGAACTAGGAATGTCTTCGGTAACTGATTCCTCGTCATCTTCTGACGGCAATTCCTCCACGTCCACCGGCGGTAGCGTAGGCAATGTTACATCAGGGCCGTCTCCGAACGCGGGGGCGCACATTCCGGGCTCGACGATTCCACACGCTGCCCACATGTCGCGTGCGGAGTTCGCGCTCTCGTTGAGGGACACCTAACTGTACAAGCAGCAGCCGTACTCATCGAAACTTTCCTGGAGTTTACGGCGACACTCGTCCGAGCACGCCATGTCTCCGCATTCGGCAAAAATCTCGTCTTCTTCCACACCCTCTCCGCTCAGTAGACTGTAACACGTGTCGCCGCTCTCGTTCTCAGTGCAAAGTACGTCAAATAGCTCCAGCTCGGTAGGTCCCGAATCCAGGCACTCCAGTATTGAGTACAAGGATCGTCCACAACTCTCGCATATGATAATTGACTCTTCTTCGAACTCGTATTGCGCCGTGGCCTCGAAGAGATAGTTCTGGCAGCTGTCGCTCAGCTCAGAGAAAAGTTCGCTGATCCTCGCGTCGCTGCATGTTGCTTCGTCGTCCATCGGAATCGATCGCTTTTCCGACGCAGAGAGGAAGCGCTCGCCGCCCAATTTGAGCCTCTCCATAAACTGCGTAGGCTTTAGGGCAGATGCGAAAGCCAAGGTAAAGGATACTAATAGAAGTGTAACACTGAACATAGTAGATAGCTAGGAGTTGTTTGAACAAGGCAGACAAGGTATAAGCTTTCGGGGAGGTTTGAACGATGTAAACAGAAACACAATTTAGTGTGACAGATATAGAGAGATACCAACAGTGACTCTTATGACCGTTTTACCGGTCTTCTGTGGATGACACACTGACTATTATGGTGGACATGGCATCTTAACACAACCCGCATATTGGTTTAGAGCTTCACAGCAACAAGCCCAGGGCATAATACTATATAAATACTGGCTAGCAATTTCCGCATAGCTATACCCCTATTTGAAACCTTCTTGCCGATTTATGCACTTTAACGTAGTAAAAAATTTCCTAGGCCGAGATAGAAGTTGAGTCCTAATATAATTATAGTGGACATCGCTCTTGATTTGCTATAATAACAGATGGCATAAATCAGTACTGGAATAGCTAGAGAAATGACGTAGTTTTATTCTGAAAACTGCCGATCCCTTCGACACACCCAGTGTGCTTCCTTCAGTCGACGTTGCGCAGAAGCAGTTGTTGGACAGGAGATGTGGTGTAACTAGTCGTTTCTTCCATCTCCTCTGTGCACGCACACTCTGTGGGGTTAAAAATTATTGTTGGCGGATACAAACGATTAATGGTGCTCACCTTCATCTACGGGCAGACTGGAATGGAGCTTTTCTGAAGCAGTACCCATAGCCGAAGTGTTCTCTACAAATTGAATTTGTGCACAAGATGTACAGATGAAAGTGTGTTCTTTATTTCCTTTATTCATTCAGAGTGTATCATCAGAGGTACTACTCTATAATTATACTACTCAATGTTCCCCCTCTAGATCCGCACCATACATTGCAACAGCTGTTTAAATGCCTGGCTATATTATAATTATAATGGCTTGATTATAATTAACTTTTGCACAGTGTCATGTTCCAGGGTAAGGATAGTGTGCTCCAGAGATGCACAGTGCACTGGACAGGACAGAGCCCGAACATTCCGGCAATTGAACATCTTGCTGCAACACAGAGAGTCCTCCGAATCTGTGAACATTAGGGTCATTTTATAACCCACTCCTGGTATTTTGCGTCATTTTAACTCTCGGCGCGCATGCGCAGTGAGGGTTACAGTGTCGTCCCGTCTGTCCAGTCCACGCGCAAGAAATCGGCCAAAGAGCGATAGTAGCGGCGCGCCATAGTTCAGTGCTACAACACCGGCTTGATTTTAAAAAAGGCGCTTTTCATAAAAATACTGCGTTCAAAGTTATACGTGAGAACAAGCCAATATGCAAATTGCACAGGCTTACCTCAGCCGGGTCCGCTGTTCTGAAGGCACAAGAAGTCACAACGAAGGGCGTGTATAGACTCCCGCATGCTATCTACTACTGTAGCTAGCCCGTGTCAGACTCTCAGCGAGCTATAGCGGGAGACCACGACTAAACGCGTGCTAAAAGCCCACCCCCCATCAATTATGGTAACGTGCATGCGCAGTTTCGCATTTTGATCAGCACCTGATGAAGATCGGTAATCTTTAGTGAAAAATAGGTCTTCCACATGTTGCTATAATAATGAGGTTCCTAGAGCATAGACAATGCCTGCACTACACACCCTCCTAATCTTGGAAACCTTGCCCACATCTAAGCCCTCGCCCGCACAAAGATATATAATATGTCGTTGATGCATCTCGCTATACCACGAACAGTGCGTAGCTAACTGCTTGATATATATATATAATATATAGAGGTCCTAACTCCATCCCGACCTCCTGACCATGTGAAGGAGTGGGATCTGTGTCTGGGACGAGGCTAGCTAGACCGCAGTCCATAGCTCTACCTGCATGAAGTGCACTAAGTTTCGGGTTATTATATATAATATAATCTCCTATTGTAGCGAGTCTTGTTGAAATTACAATGGTCACTTACCATCCACACAAGTGAAGAAGGTAATATCATCTCCATTCAGACTTATACTGTGAGTAGTAGCTGGACTACATCCTTTCCCTGAGCCGACAGCCTCCTTCTCCCCCTTCTCCTCCTTTATAATCCTCTTCATCATCCACTGAGCACGTGTCGTATTGTATGCAGCAACAGCCACTGCCACTGTCAGGTATAGCGAAACAATTGCTACATCGCTCTAACCATCATGATATAGCCATAAAACTGACCTACGAACTGAAGAAAGATCATTATAATTATAGCTATATATATTATATTATGTGAATGAGACCCTATACTCATACAGCAGAAATTCTTCTTACCCACACTCTACTACATATCCGAAGATAGCACTATGTCATAGTTGGAGAGGATGTGGTGTCAGCGTATGATGCCTGGTAAAGCTGCACATGAGTAATCTCGCGGACAGCGAGACTGGTCCTTTTATATCTAAGTTACTCTCGACGTCACGAACTATAATCAAGGATGGCACTGCTACTGATGTTTTATAAGAGCAACATAACGAACCACTGATACTATCGCGCGTTTCAAACTTATGTTTTTACCTGTAGTTCTAGCCGCTAGAGAATTCGTTGGCGTGTGGGCGTGGTGTCCTTACTACAGGAAGACGGTGCTACTCCATAGTCGGAAGTGACGTGACGCAGGGTTGCTCGGACAACGTGACGTCACGTTACCCATCCAGTCGATCCCCGGCGTTGTAGTCAGTGTTTTACAACATTTGCGTTTAGTACGCGTCTCTGCGGACAAAAGCACCGTGCGCAGCTCCGCGGGGCGCGCGCGTGCACGACGCATGCGCCACTGCAGTATCGGAAGCTGAGCCTGCGCACAACTAAAACCGTGCAGTATAAGCTCGCGCTACGTCGGCGCGCGCCACAACGGCGAGAGACTTAGCGATGCAGATGACATCATGGTTCCTACGTTGCCCTTTGGGCGTTCATACTGGTGATTGATGCTATGTATACTAATTTCATTATATCAGCAGTTTAACACATTATTTTGCTTGTGTAGCTAACTGGCTAATCTCGATTTGTCGATGACAAAATTTTAGCACTGTTGTAGTCACATCAAAGAAAATGGTGCTGCAGATTACGGAGTGCACTGAGCCAAGTACCCAGTAAAAACAGAGAGCTCTCCAAACGCCATGATTTCGATGTTATAGATGTTCATTGTTCACCCACAACACCACTGCTGGCACCTACTGTATGCCTCTCATTAGTCGGCTTGTCTCATAATTAAGCTAGAATACGGCGTGCCTGACTCAGATAGACCTGTAGCCCACACTGAGAGTCTGAAACGTGTGGCTACAGTGGAACTCGAGAGAGGACAACCTCTCTATATACAAGTGACACTTGTTTCGCTCGTACCGTCCTATACTTCAGTGTATTACTTTGACCTCGAAAAAAGGGAGAGGAATGACCTCTCTCAAGGACAAAAAATCGTTGCCTCATAGATCGCTTTGTTCAGAGGTCCCACTGTATTAGATGCTGTAGTGCATATGGATGTTCCTGTGAACGCAGCAGTATGGTGTTCCCCACTCCCTCGTGTGGCGTCGACACCCAGAAACCGGTTGCTCAGCAGGCACCTGTTTAGCCATCACATGGTTGAAGGTCCTTTCTCCTCCGTTACTCTGATGATGTGGCACTAACACCCAAAACAACACCCACACCGCTAAAGTTTGGGTGTAGTGTAGGGAGACACCTCTTAGCGCCATTGTAATAATGTTCACTCTAAACGTCACGCCTTGGATCATGACCACTGGCAGGATAGTAAAGGTGACAGTGCCAGATCCTAGATGTTAGGCTGTTGACATCCAGTTGATCTGAACACCAGAATTTGGTTATGTTTAGCTATAAGATTGCAGGGGCTGACTACCTGTTCAAAGTCTAGATGGAGCTTCAGGCCATATTGTCCACCACAGTAAAGTCCTCTCTGAGTTGTGAATATCAAGTGTGACTTCCCTTTAATAATGAGAGGGTCTACTGTCTAACGTACTGTTTCTTATTCGGAGTGTCCTCTATTAGAGATTCTTCTACTGAGGCAACAGACGCTGTAGAAACTATGACAGGGCGGTATGAGAATAACAATTATGACCACATGCATCTGTAGAGTTGCTATGGTTTCGCTGGGGTCTTGCCAGACTACCCAGCGACCGTGAACTGGTGAGACAATACGAGAACCCCACGCACATGCGGGCACCGAGCACGACTGTTGTGACGGCACTGCTGAAGATCCTCTGCGACAACCGCTTCAGTTCTGCTACCATGACTCTCCTGACAATTGTCCGGATGGCTGGGGTCGCTGAGGGCGTCAGACCAGAGGACGCAGTGGTTGGGGTGTCAGTTTTTGGCGACGGACCTGGTTGCCCCGACAACGACAACATATCTTTTCCGTCTTCTGGGGTTGGGAACTTTGGAACTACGGTCAGAATCCCTACGTTCAAGGCCGACATTTGTCCGGTGAGACTGCAGAGTTTCTTGTAGCTGAATGACATCAACGATAGCTGTAATATTAAATTATTATATGTCAGTGATGCATCTGCATAATTAGCTACCTGTCTCTGACTTCAGCATGTTTTGCATGATGTAATGGGCAACTGCACAAAAGGAACACTATAACTCCATCTTGTACTAAGGGGAGGACAAAAAATTACCTTGTTGGTGGAAGTTTTAGACCTTGTAGTTTCATCTATCCAAATTCTCCCCGTTCACACTCGTTTAAAGTGTGATTTGATCCGTTGTCAATATAATTAACCCACCTTACTTCCGGTCAAGCCTATCTGCTGGTCATAGTTATTTGACGTGGACATCACCGGTCTGGATGATACAGTTTGATTTCATAGTGGTCCACATTCTTCCGTCCTCTTTGAGGCGGTGGTCCTCACGTGGAGACTTTTCCCGGACGTTTGGTTTCCGGATCGCTCTCCAGCCAGAT